TTCCATGTCAATACTGCTTCATAGGCCTTAAAAGGCAGTCGGAAGATTCAGAGCTTCGCCTTGATACGAGCAGTCTTGTTTTGTATTTAATTAACATTAAAATTGTTATAAATTGTTAAAATTGTTTGATATTTTTGAAACTTTTGGGGCAATGCTTCGGTGCCAAATACGAATAGGCTTCTCTTCTTGCATCACCTCTGACCTTGATGTTCTGTGTTCCATGTGAGAAAAAATGAACTATGTAGCTGCATTTGAACAACTCGTCCCAGCTTTCAGGTGAAACATAGTTTGGTTTTGATTTCTCTCCAGTCTACTGGTGCAAACAAGAATTCGGTAGCTATATCCAGTGGATGACCTGGAACAGATGAGTATCGAATTATTCAAAACCTAAAACAACCAAAGGGGTTAATAATTACATAACTTGGTGTGTGAGGGAAATACTTAAGGGTTTTAACTAACAAAGTGATATACACGGGGAAAAAGTTCACATCCCGTGAAACTGCTTTTCCAGGGGAAGTTTCGACTGGCTTGGAATGTGATCGAAGCAATTTGGATAACAAAAAGGTTCGCAGAAAAAAACTAACAAAAAACTTGAAAAGGGACCTTTAGAAAAAATTTCATAAAATAACAAATGTCAGAAAAAATGTCATAAAATAACAAAATAATACCAAAAGGGGGACCCTTTGGTTGGTAAGGGGTCGAAATCCTGAGAAAAGGAGGCGTTCGATACCCCCGCCCCGCCTAAACCCGCCCCTGATCTCAAAGAATAGTTTCAGATGAAGTACGCCGCCTATTGCCACGCAATCTTTTTTCGGTCTAATGGGCTCGAGTAACTCCTAAGTCTAATACTGATCCTGACACCATCTCCTTAGGCTCAGTGGGTTTAGAGGAATACTGGATAAATCGAGGTTTTTAGAGAGATCAGCTTCATTCCAATATCTCGATACTGGTCTGACTCGTAAGCTAGCCAAAACTAACAAACGGCCTTTAGCAATGGATTATAATTGGTTATTAAGGAAAAACTTACAATCTATAATTTTGCTTCAATGATTAGCGAAAGCGAGAAGAGAGATAAGAAATGAAACAACCTTAGAAAAAAACTGAATGGTTCTGTCTTTAAACGTAATATTTGGATCAAGTAATTTGTGGCAAACAAATTTTGCACAAATATTTAATCGAAGATCAGGTTTCGAAGTATAATTTATAATTATTGAATTACGACTAGACAGCTTATCTAGTAAAAAAACAGCGTAACCCGCACTCTAGTTTCATGGATAATAATCGGTTATATTGGATTTCAATTCTCATTCTCTATTAAAAAAACCAAAAAAATTCGATTAAAATCGATTAAAAATGGATTATAAAGATACCATTATTTCGCTTTTACCGCTTTTCTAAACTACAGCTCTCCGCTTTTATCGCTTTATATAAGGTCGCGGAATTATTTGGAAGAACCATTGTAAAATCAATTAGAATCCGAAATTTCATTCCGGTCGAATGGTACGTGGCAATATCAGTGATTTGTAGGCCAAGTAATAGAATTGTACTAAAAGTGCTTATAATCCGAGACCTCTCAGAGATTTGTCCCAATAAACATGAGTTACACCGTAAAAAAGGATCACTTTTAATTGATAAACGTTAAAAGCTGATTTGATATTACCTACAACAACTACACCTAGACTACAACTGATGTTTGATACTTGATACTTATTTAATAGCTTGCTCCGAAAAGTTTAAACTATTTGCGAACCATTTTGGTTTATGAAATAACTTGAAATATTTCAAAGTTGCAAAGCTCGATTATTTTCCTAAGAAAATGTTTGTAATTATATCAGAGCCCAGTGGTTCAAATTAGTTTTTAAGGTCATCAATCATATATGAGAAGATCCATTTGAAAGTCACCCAACCGATGGCGCGGAGAAACACATTACTGCGCCGTTTTACCTTGTAAATCAGTACAGCATTGTGTTTCTGAGCGCCATCGCTTGGGTCACATTCGAATGGATCTTCACATCTATGGTTCCGATGGTGGTCTTAAAATTTGATTTTTGTCGCACAGATAGAAGTTATGATACATTTGTATTCTATATTCATGTGCATTTTCACACACTCGTATTTTGTTTTTAGATGATAATATGAAAAAATTTCTCGGAGCTGACTTTGAGTGTTCTTTGGATCTGCAGACTTGGACTTCGGAATGGCGTCTTCATTTTCTCGTCGGTTATTTTGAACATGAGACAGCCCTTCCCCTGGTGTTGGTTCCCACTAAAAGTAACTCTCTGCTGTCTCGAATTTGAGGAGAGAAACTTACAGGAAACACAGTAACAGAGCTTCAAACCTCTAAAGTTTTCTGTAGTTTCATTCTTCTGTTGAGAGACTGGCACGTTGGGCCGGGCTAAGAATTAGTTTTTGCCTAACTTTATTTCTTTGATTTGCTTAATCATAAACTGAGTCTTATGCAAATTCGTCCGTAAAAAAGTTTCATCATACCACTCCATTGAATGGAAAAAATCCTTATCATACAATTCCATTTAATGAAAAAAATTGCTATCATACAATTCCATTCTATGGAAAAAATGCTTGTCATGTAATTTTCATACGAGTTTGTTTTCTATGGAATTGTAGGAATCGTATGATAAACATTTTTTTCATAGTATGGAATTTTATGATAAGCTTTTTTTGTCAACCCGGGACTAATGATGAATTTGAAAAAGTTTTTTTTCTAAGTGAATGAATATTGTTTTTTTTATGATAAGACTATGGAAAGGCGTCGAAATGAAATTAGGCTTTAGAAATAATTTTTTTTCAGAGCTAAGTTTTTTAAAGATGGTCTGACAATTGTCTGTAAATGCTGTAATAACCAAGAAAACTGCTACGTTCTTATAGACTTTTAATCAAAGAAACTTGCAACTTCCAAAAGAATATTTTTTCCTTTTTTTTCATTTTTTTTTTCAAATTTTCCTTGTTTTTGTTTTTCGTCGTTTGTTTCAATTTTTTTTATTTGTTTTCGTTTTTTCTATTTTTTTTATTTGATTTCATTCTTTTTGGTCGTTATACATTTTTAAATTCGTACTCTTGTTTTAACTCAATATTTGTTTTTTAAGCCTTTAAAAGCATGGTAGGTTTGAAAGTCATTGACTCAAGCTAAGTCCTAACGCGACTTAATTTTAGAACATCGTGAATAATTTTAAGATTATGTCGCGGCTACATTTTTGACCATGTCAAGACTAGTTTTTGATCATATTGCGACTGACGTCACTTTTTAAAAGTCGGAAAAATGATCGTTCTATATTGGAAGCCAGAGCGTGTTATCTCAGTATAAATAATTTGACACGGGTGTTCCCTTACTAACAAAGCTGCTTGCATCAGAGCGAAGCCCTGAATGTTCCGACTGCCTTTTAAGGTCTATGGAGCAGTGATAACTTGAAAAATTTAAATGTAATAAAATAAAATAAAAAAAGCTTTTGAAAAAATGTGAACGTCATATTAAGTACAAAGTGATAGATTTTGCACTTATTAACAAATCAGTAATGGCATATAAATTTTCATGAATCAATTTAAAACAATTTTTAAGACGGATTAAATCTAGCTCACGCGTTAATAGCGCGAAATATGGCGCACAGACAATTCGGCCAAAGACAATTCAGCAAATTTGAAATTCAGACAACTCAGCCGGAAATATACAGACAATTCAGCCTCAGACAATTCAGCCAGATTTACAAAACGCTAGATATGAAAGAAAAACAAGACTGCTCGTATCAGGGCAAAGCCCTGAATGTTCCGACTGCCTTTTAAGGTTTATGGAGCAGTAATACCATTATAAAATTAAATGAAATAAACAAAATTAAAAGTTTCCCCCCCCCAAACGCCATATAAAGTACAAAAGGATAAAATTCGCTCCTTGTAACAAATGAATTGCAACAAATAAGCTTCTTTCAACCAATTCAGAACGATTTCTAAGAGGGATTAACTCTCCGCTTACGCGTTAATAGCGCGAAATATATCGCGCGTTAATTGTCCCAAATTGGCCAAAATGGCAATCTTTAAACCCCAGTAACTTTACGAAAAATGGTTACAGGTAAAATATCTTTTCAAATTTGAGCTTAGGACAACAATACTTTTTGAATGATATGAAAAATTCCGTCAAAAATGGCTAGTTAAAAAGTCGAAATTTGTCTGAAAAAAAAACCCACCCCGAGCACAAAGTTTCCGTTACTTTCGTATCGAAAGTCGGAACAAAAAACGAACCAATACTCGGCTCAATATTTAGATCCAGTGCCTGTAGAAGCAAGCGCAAAAATTTTCGATTACGCTTCATTTCGAAAAAGAACATTGAGTAAATTTATTAAATGTATATCCTGTTTTCTCAAACATTTAATTCTCGTTTTGTTTTCTTCAGATAGTCATCTGTTAATTTGGAATCTAAGTTATCATTCTTCCTGTAACAATGTACTATATATGTAAATATTACTATAAATGTAGTTTTTTATAACATGGAACTGTTGTTCTTCCGGCTTTCGTAACGAAAGTAACGGAATATTTCTGCTCGGGGATGTTTTTTTTCTTCAGACAAATTTCGACTTTTTAACTAGCCATTTTTGACAAAATTTTTCAAAATTATTCGAAAGCCATTGTTGTTTTGAACTTAAATTTGAAAAGATATTCCACCTGTGATCAATTTTTGTAAAGTTATGGGGGTTTAAACATTGCCATTTTGGCCAATTTGGGATAATTAACGCGCGATATATTTCGCGCTAGTAACGCGTCAGCGTAGATTTAATCCGTCTTAGAACTCCTTCCAAGTTGGTTGAAGGAAGCTTATTTGCCATAAATGATTTGTTACTAGAAGCGAAATTTATCACTTTGTACTTTATGTGGCGTGTGGGGTGATGATTTTCACAATTTTTTTTTACAATTTTTTTTTTTCATTCAATTTTTTTTTTTACATTTAATTTTTTCATTTCAATACTGCTTCATAGGCCTTAAAAGGCAGTCGGAAGATTCAGAGCTTCGCCTTGATACGAGCAGTCTTGTTTTGTATTTAATTAACATTAAAATTGTTATAAATTGTTAAAATTGTTTGATATTTTTGAAACTTTTGGGGCAATGCTTCGGTGCCAAATACGAATAGGCTTCTCTTCTTGCATCACCTCTGACCTTGATATTCTGTGTTACATGTGAGAAAAAATGAACTGTGTAGCTGCATTTGAACAACTCGTCCCAGCTTTCAGGTGAAACTTCAGTTGATGACCATAGTTTGGTTTTAACTTCTCTCCAGTCTACTGGCGCGAACAAGAGTTCGGCAGCTATATCCAGTGGATGACCTGGAACAGATGAGTATCGAATTATTCAAAACCTAAAACAACCAAAGGGGTTAATAATTACATAACTTGGTGTGTGAGGGAAATACTTAAGGGTTTTAACTAACAAAGTGATATACACGGGGAAAAAGTTCACATCCCGTGAAACTGCTTTTCCAGGGGAAGTTTCGACTGGCTTGGAATGTGATCGAAGCAATTTGGATAACAAAAGTGCTCGCAGAAAAAAACTAACAAAAAACTTGAAAAGGGACCTTTAGAAAAAATTTCATAAAATAACAAATGTCAGAAAAAATGTCATAAAATAACAAAATAATACCAAAAGGGGGACCCTTTGGTTGGTAAGGGGTCGAAATCCTGAGAAAAGGAGGCGTTCGATACCCCCGCCCCGCCTAAACCCGCCCCTGATCTCAAAGAATAGTTTCAGATGAAGTACGCCGCCTATTGCCACGCAATCTTTTTTCGGTCTAATGGGCTCGAGTAACTCCTAAGTCTAATACTGATCCTGACACCATCTCCTTAGGCTCAGTGGGTTTAGAGGAATACTGGATAAATCGAGGTTTTTAGAGAGATCAGCTTCATTCCAATATCTCGATACTGGTCTGACTCGTAAGCTAGCCAAAACTAACAAACGGCCTTTAGCAATGGATTATAATTGGTTATTAATGAAAAACTTACAATCTATCATTTTGCTTTAATGATTATCGAAAGCGAGAAGAGAGAATAGAAATGAGACATCCTTACAGAAAAATTGATTGTTTTTGGTTTTTAACGCAATATTTGGATCAAGTACTTTGTGGCAAACAAATTTTGCACAAATATTTTATCAAAGATCAGGTTTCGAAGTATTATTTATAGTTATTGAATTACGACTAGACAGCTTATCTACTAAAGAAAAAACTAGCATTACCCGCACTGAATATTCATGGATAATAATCGGTTATATTGGAATTTTTTCTCAGTCTCTATTAAATGACAAAAATAATCGATTATAATCAACTAAAAATGGATTAAAAAGATACCATTTTTCAAGCAAAAAAATCCCAATATAATCGATTATGATCGATTTTAATCGATTAATTCCAGTTTATTTTCAAAATTTTTTTATCAGAAGGTGAGGTGAGTGTGTAGTCTGGGTAAACGTGTGGGGGAGGGGGCTGTGTTGTGGGTAGACCCCACAACCCCCCACGTTTACCTGTACTGCATAGTTACCTGTCCCGGTGGTGGTGTTTAGTGTTTTGAGGGGCTGTGGTTTTTTTTTGGGGGGGGGGGGGGTTGGGGCTTTCAAAAAATTTAAAAATGTAGTCGATTTTTTTCTCAGAGCGGCCAAGTTGATTTTCCGAGAACTCCCTCAACACTAAATAGAACGTATTTCGACAAAATTTTAACGCTGCAGGACAAAACTTGTAGCGCTTGAAAAAAACTACATGTTGGCCGTCCCTGAATGAATGTGTTCGTTCGAGTTTCGCAGAAAGTTGCAAAGAGTAGAGTCATTATCTAGAAAAATTATTCAGCGTTCATGGATATTATGTACAAAACATAAACCATTTTTTTGAAAACAAAAATAAATTAAAATCGATTATAATGGTTCTTAATGGATTTTATTTTTCGAAAATAGTCAACTAAGTTGGATTCAAAATCTGATACCTTGTACAATTTTGCCAAGATAATCAATTATAAAAACAACATTTTAGTCAGCTAAAATCCATTATATTTGATTTTTTGTTATCCATAAAACATCGGAGCGGAAGACATGCTTAGGGCTTTACATAGAAGCGATAAGTCGAAGACCAATCGTTTAGCAGACCGACCTTTTAGCATAAGAAGTGAAAAGTGAATCTTTTAGCAGACCAACGTAATAAAGTAACGGATGATTGTTTAACAAACTCAAAAAGACGCCCAGTCTGAGGCCAAGGGTTTCCCCAATAGAGACACGATCTCATGATTTGTCAACAAAAACTATCAGCTTCAAAAACCCAACAGTCTTAATTAGCGGCATGACAAAGATTTGCGCGCACAATAACACTCATGTTGAATTGAATAGCAGCACAGCAAGCGGTCGCTAATCGCCAAGGCCGCGTTTGAAGTTAGCTATTTGACTTTATAATTGTTCTGAATCTGCTGAAAGATTGGTCTGCTAAAAACACGGTCTGCTGAAATCCCCAACAACTTATTGTCATACCTGTATATTCATATGAATTTTCTATTCAGGAACACCCATATGCAGTACAGTGTTGATTTATTTCATCCGGATAATATGCAATGAACTAGAAAGTTAAAACTCGTTTTTCTCAAATTGAGTTGAGTTTAGCTATAGAAAAGGTGGCGTTCCTCATGCTGGAAGACCGAATGCTTGAAACTTCTTTTGACTGATTTTCAGCCAATCAGAATTGAGTATTCAAAAATCCCAATGAAATTGCGAACATCTCAGAGTAAGCAAATAAATCAAGGTCATTAGTCTTATGTTGGCCGATTAGAAAAAAATAAGATGATAGAAAATGCGGATCGTAGGCGGATTGGAACAAATTTAATATTTCAAAGATACCGATTTAGGAAAAATGGAAAAAACAAAAACTTAATTTAGTGTATCTGCACCTATTATATCTGCATCTGTTATGTTATATTATATTATCATTTCCATTTTGTGAGAAAAGCATTTAGCCAATAAGAACGCGTAGCGATATTGATTAGTTGAATTTTTTCCAGCATTCGGATCCTCCAGCATGAGAACCCTCCCCATAAAAAATATTGAAGACAAAACTTGCTGAGAAAATCAGCAGAATTAACATGCTGCAAATTAGTTTGCGATTTTCGGACCCAAAAACTTACCTTAAAAAAGATGGTTTTTCGGTTTTTTGGTCAAATTGTGCTTAAACTACTTGGTCGATCACTGCCATAATTATATCAAAAGGGGCCTCTTACGTAGCCCAACAAACTTTAAATGTGTGTACTCTCCTAACATGCTGCCCAAATTGTTTAAAAGTTAAATGAAAAATGGTGTTTTATATGGCAACAATAAACGTCTATCAAACAAAAATAAGTTAGTTTATACAATTCATTGGAGAGTACACTGTTCTGAAAGTTTAATGAACCACGTAGGAAGCTCATTTTAATATGATTATGTCAGTGATCGACCAAGCAGTTTGGAGTTATTTAAGTTTACTGAAAAAAGCAAAATTGATCGAATCTGGGGTAAAATTTTTATCCCGAATTTCGCAAAACCAATTGCACCATATTAATTCTGCTAAAATTCTTCAAGATTTGTCCCCATCTTTTTTTTACCCAAAGTCAACCCAATTTGAAAAAAAAGTGGCAAATTTAGTGCGTTTTGTCCGGATACATTAAATCAGTACTGAACATTGAATCTATACAATATGTCTTTGAAAAAAAGCAAATGAAACAATTTCAAACTTTGCAAACTTTGAGACCAGCTTGTTTTCGGAAATCAAAACATTTTATTTTTTTTTCTGTCGCAAAATAAAATCTCTACACAAACACGCAAACAAATAAATTACAAGAAAAAACTGTCGCTAGTTTTAACTATGTTCTGATCAGAAATGAGATGAGAGACAAATTTTTTATAACATCTGTGCTTTATCTAAACATTTCATAAAGATTCATTGAAGTTCTGGGACCCATCTTGTTGCGTATTTGCTTTTCTAGTGATCAATTATTATATTTTCTACCCCGGTACCGTGTAAAACCGGGCCTTAATGCAAATTAACATCTTACAAACCTTGATTTAAAGTTACAAGACCATTGGTTACAGAACTTGCATTCATTAGTTTCATGGCAACTTCACCACTATAGATTGGCTGTTGTCCCCACCCTTTCTTGGGGCTGAAGGAGGCGTTCATGTGGTGGAGCCATTCATGGGCAAAAATGTGGCCGGCCTTCAAATGCATCGGAGTCCCGTTGAGCCGGGTACTATTGAGAGTCCCATTTGGAATTGTGCATTGATCTTCTCCCCCTCTAAACATATCCATTATGAGAACTAGTAGGAAAAAATAATTTTTGCAGCAAAAAAAACAGTGATTTTTCAAGAATAAAAAGTGTCAATAGAAACTATTTTACATTGTTGACAATTATTCAGGACCTGTTCCAGTGAAAGATATAGGGTTTTAGGAAATATTTTTATGTTTAGTTGGAAGTTTTTAGTTCAATGAAATTTGATAAAATTTAGCAGAATTCCTTTAAAACAATTGGACAAAAGCTGCTTTTAAATTTAAAAGTATTTTAGCCGAGCATTCAACAAATCGGCGAGGGCTTATGTACAGTTTGGTGAACAATAAATTAAAAGTATTTGGCTTTCCATAGCTGGCTTGCGATATAAGAAAACTCATTCCTTGAAAAATTTCCAGGGCCAAATTTGCCAATGCTATTACTGTCACTCAATAGTATTGGTAAATTAATCATCTAACATTATTTTTTGAAAACCCCGTGGCAGTATTTTTTACCAAAAACTGCTCAATTGATTTTTGAACGATTTTGTGGTGCGAGATATTTTGCCACGCGTGAATAATGCGCTTTAAACTTGCGGCATCAAAGTATCACAGCGCTGTTATAGTCACGTTAGTTCATTACAGAGCATTTTTTAACAATCTTTAAGTCAGGATAGTCTAGCGGTGACCCGCACCGCCAAACCTGAGATTGAAATCGATTTAAATCGATTTTTTACAAAAATAAAATACTGTAGTGAAATCGATTTACGATAGCCCATATAGACACGTAAATCGATTGAGAATGGATTAAATTTCATATAAGACACATGAAAGAGACACCCATTTACGCACGTAGACTGATTTAGAATGGATTAAATGGATTTTTACTGAAGAAAAAAAAACAAGTTTATTCCCTTAAATTTGATTTAAATAAATTTTTGCGATGCAGTGAAAATCATCAAAATCTCATTAAAAGTAGTTTAACTTAACTATTCATTTTGTTACAAAGCGTGAGCAAACTTTTCTATTAAGAAATTCTCGAAAAGAGCTACAGATAGCAAAAATCACATGAGGAGAATTTTTTTCCGCAAATATTGCGTTTAAGGATTCCCTTTATAATAGTGCAACAAAACTAAGGTTTTCTGCGGTAAAGAAAAAACAAAACTATGCCAAATATTTATATTTCATTATCCAAGCTTTACGCTCAGTCTTTCTCAGTAAATAACAATATAATAAGAAACTCAAAATAAAAAAACTTCATTTTAATTGCTTTTCTAAAACTTAGATATTAAATATCCTCATTATTTACTTAAATCCTAGTATCAAAACAAATAGTCATTCAAAAACATACAAATTTTATTTTCAACACTTCTCTTTTGTTTCATAGTCTAGAAAAAATTAATATAATAAAATGAAGTACAAAAAAGTAGTTAAAACCGATAATTTATATCGATGTTATCGTTACTGAAAATTGTAGAAAAAAGAAACCTTAAAAGCTGGCAACAAAAGATTGAAATTGATTCTTAAACTACATTTTTGCATCGAATTAAATTCATTTCAAATCGATTCAAATTGATTTTTAAAATCTCAGCTACTTTATCTGTATAAAATCGATTGCAATCAATGTCTTGTTAGTAAGGGGAGCGCGATTGTTGTGGGACCACGGAGATCCATGGATCGATCCCCTGGGTGTTTTTTTTAAAGAAATAATCATAATAAGATTAGCAGCCCGAGCATATTGCATCCATAATTTTTTCCGAAAGTTGGAACAAAAACCGAATTGAAACAATCAAAATTCTTAAAATGTCTTCGAACAAAATATTTTATTTATGGAATTTGGCGTCCAGTGATATTTCCAACCAAAATGTTATGGTTCAAGTTAAAATGTGAATAAGACTGCTAAGATATCAGGGCGAAGCACTGTCTGTTGTGATTGCCTTTTATTCCATATTGAATTGTTTTTGGGAAATATATTGAATTACTATAATTTTTGGACAATATCAAGATCAAGTGGTTCTCTTCCATCCCCCCAAGCCACGCGTTACGTTTTCATGAGTAAGAATAAAACATTCAAAAAGCGCATAAATAAGCCCAGAGCATGGCCAAATTGACAAACTTCAAACTCCGTACATTTTGCAAAAATTGATCGCAGGTAAAAATATTTTTAGATTTAATTTTTGGGTGTCAATATCTTCAATGGGGCACAAAAGTATTTCGATCGGCGAAAATAAAAAAAAAACACAGAAAGCGTAAATGTTTTGATTTCTTTGAAAGTCGGGACAAGTATCCGGTTGTTCTACTTGATACAAAACTCAGTTACATAGAAGCAACATTACGTAAAATGGCTTCTGGAACAAAACACCAAAATAAATACAAAGAGTTTATCCTATCAAAATAAGATAAAAGCTATTAAATGCTCTAAAGTGATTATTCATAATGACTGCCGGCTGTTTATTCGAACAACACAACAAACATCCTTGTTAGCTCCTTTAAGAAGCTGCAAAAATTGGGCTTTAAGACATGTTATAGTTCACTGAAACTTGATTTTGTAATATACGAAGTTTTCCAAGAAAAAAATAAAAATCCCATACGATGGGTCGAGGTGAATATACTTCTAAAAAGTACCACCCAATCCTAAAAATTTTCAGAAAGTAAAACAAAACTAGGCAAGAAAGTTTTCAGCATTTCAATTCATCAGATGAAAAAAAAACTTTTCACCTCGTTGAATCACCTTTTATCCCAAGATACTTTCTTGTCTATGGATACCAGCAAAATTATCTTGATAAATATGGTTTTTCGTAAGCCGGTGAAAAAAAACTGGAAACTGTGCAATCACAATCCCAATACCAATATCATGCACTAAACACCAATACCATTACCATTACCAATACCAATACTAGTACCAATAGCAATACCAATAGCAATACCAATACCAATACCAATACCAATACCAATACCAATACCAACATCAAAAGCAATACCAATCCAAACACCGCTACTAAGCTAAATCGTCAATAGTCGTACTAAAACTAATACCATTAGCATAACCTATCAATCCCTCAATACTATTTTCTAAGAATTTATCATTACCTGCTGTTCATAATATCAATGATTGTTGTATATGTTAGTGTAACAAAACCAGTTTTTGCTTTCTGCTTAAGACTATTTCGGAATGACGACTCGCGAAAATGCAAAAATTGAAAATATTGGTTGAATATCGGTTGAATAAAACAACAACCGATATTAACGAACAATTTCTTTCAGCAAAATATTAACGAAGAAAAGTTCAATATTAACAAAAAAATCCGTTATTAAAAATATATTAACCAAAAAAAACAGCTTGAATTGTAAATGATTAAGGCCAATACCAGAGGCGCGCTATTGATCAATACCAAAACCAATACCAACGGCTGATTCGCTCAATACGAATACCATAATTTCAAGCTGTTGAATTCTCTGATGGTTCTACATATAAATAATTCGAGTTGCAACAAGTTTTACCCATTTCCTATCCAGGGTACCGGGCATTTAGCCGACGGGACTTCAGATCGATTAACATTACAGCGACTTCAATCCACACTTTTTGCGACAAAATAAATCTTTCTTGGTATCTCATACCTAGGTACCCCATATTTTGTTCCACGCAACCTTTATTCTACAACTCAGGTGGTATATTTTTGATACTTGAAAATTGTCAATTTGATAATGATCTGTACTAATTCATGCGAACTTTAAAATTTTGTCCAAAATCCTGAAAACTTAACGCTAATCATTTATTCGTGGCAAATTATCCCGAGAGCAAAATCGTTCCAAATTGACTTGAGGCTAATTGGTCGTTTTAATTTTGTACGACTCAAATTTTTACAATTGATCTTTGATATAGCCCAAATTGAATAACTTTTCAATATTTTCGTTTCCCACAAACTTTTCGATGTGAATTAAGGGACAGCCGGAGCTTTCAGGGCTTTGCCCTGATATACGAGCGATCTTGTTGTTCCGACTTTCGAAGAAGACGGAGTTTTTATGCTTGGGGTGATGTTTTTTTATTCAGTCAACGTTCGGCGCTCAATATGATAACTTTTGACAAAAAAATTTTAGACGCCGTTGAAAACATTGAATCCTTCTCATCAAATATAAAAAGATATGTTACGTTCTATTATTTTTTTGTTACATAAATTTTGAAAACTGCCAATTTGACCATGCTCTGGACCAATTTATGCGTGTTTAGAAGTATTTATTCATAATGCTGAAAACGTAACTCGAACTTTTTATACGTAGCGAATTATCCCGCGCAACAAAAATGTTCCAAATTGAATTGAGGCTAGCTAATTGGTCGTATTAATTTCGTCGGACTTAAATTTTTAAACTTGATCCTTGATTTTGTCCAAATTTTAAATAGTTTCAAAATTTTGTTATTCAAAGACTATCGATATGGAATTCCATGGATAATAAGCGATTATTATGAACTTTCCTGCTCTCCTTTCATCAAAATGTAAAATCTAAAATAATCGGTTATAATGGATTAATGATTGATTATAAAATTTGATATAGAGATCCTTTTCATCCATTATAATTGGTTATAATCGATTATAATGGATTATATTGGATTATAATTAATTTTTTTAGTAAAAAACTGGGTTTTTCAAAACTTTGAAAATAAATCTTCAAAATTTGATTGTTGCAATAGCTAATTTTTGTTTTACAATTGGCTACAGCAAAAGATTGAATTGTTTTTCGTTTTTTCTTTTCTCACTTACCTTTGCCGTAAGTTACGTGAAAAATACCGTAACACGTTGTTGCATCGCAAATGTAAGCGAGAGTAAAAATGCATGTAGACAAATTTGAATATGATTGGACCAAAAAAATAACTACACATTAGCGCAGCTGGCCGAGCGGCTTCTTCCGAACGTACTATATACAGATTTGCCAGCTGACTCGGGTTTAAACTCCCCCATAGGCAGACCTTAAAACATGTAGACCCGAGGGGCTTTAGCGCTATTTGACCGTTTTTTACTATTTTTTTTGGTTATA